ATGACCTACAAACTTGAATGACTTGAACCCTGAGCAGTGGCAGCATGCAGGGCGGGCTCCAGGGCACACAGGGGCAGAACCTCAGGGGACCAGACTGCAGCAGCATGTGGTGCGGGACCAGGCCTAATGCAGATCATTAAGGAAACAAGCGGAGAGTGAGGTCAGTGTCCACACACACACTTTATCTGCACCGCAACACCGGCTCCTGCAATTACGCTGCGCACTAACAAGACCCCTACAGATGTGCACCCTAATTAAGTTTGTTTTTAAGTCAGCTGGAAACAGAAGCAGGCTTTGTTATCCTTAATAGTTGTGAAAGTAATAGTAAAAAGTAGTTTAAACCAGGACAGGAGGCATTCATAAAAATCAGTGGAATTATAGTCTATACGCTAAGCTATACAAACTAAAAGACAGTGATGATGTGTGGCTCAGTTGGATACTACTAAAGACAAAATGCATCTTATTTTCTGGTTCTTGCCATTTGATAGTTTGGAAAAAGGCCAATTTCTTAACAAAATGAACATCAAATTATTGGCACAAAGCTTACTGATCGTTTATCTTGTCTAAATGAATTGCCTCTTCACCATGTGGCGCCCTCACTCAATGGGAAGATAAATGTCTCTTTAGATTTCTATGATTATCTGGAGCAATCTGACCTAATGTGATAATCAAGCCATTAAGTAGAAGCCAGCCTGCACATGGGAGCAGTGAGGTCCCCAGCTGATCCCACCTGACATCTAAATAGACTTATCCAAGCTTTCTGTCAATCTTAAATACAAACAAGGAGCCAGCTGAGGCCCCATACAGGCCATTCCTCTCAACAAATTATCTGCAACACAGATCTGATAAAGAGCACGTCTATAAAACTATTTCAATTAGTGTTTTTACAAGATCACATAGAAACACTTGCAACTATCTTGTAGCTGCCATTGATGCAATGTTCCAGGTATTTAAGAAGAAATATTATGCATTATTAATCATATTTACTTTGATATAAATAAAGTATACTTTAGATGTTTTTGAAGAGGAAACATTTTTTGCTGTGTATTTCAGCAAATTTACATAGTGCATTTACAACAGAAGACAACATACAGCCCCTCACAGGGATTTTCTTGATAAATGGAGACAGGTAGAAGTCGATTAGTGCAACAAGAGCACGGAGCACTTTATTTGCCTTGTCACACATGATGGAGGAGCACCTCTTTAACTAAGCTCAGATTTTACCAGAGAACTATAATGTAGTCATAGGAATGGCTATTACCCATTAGGCCTCATCACAGCTGAGAGAGTTTCACTCTGACAGCTGAGTACAACGTTTTTATACATTGTGGCACTTAGTATAAAAGTATAAAAACACATTCTCTATCCACAAATCTGACTCGTACTTGTCCTGGGAGGGCCTTTTGTTTGTTTATATGGGTGGAGAAAGGGTGTAGAACTTGCACACTTAGAAAAGTTTGAAGTATTACTTTTATCTTCTATCTTTTTCTACCATTGTCTTTCTCTGGTGGGAGGAAGCCTGTTTAAAATATAAATAATAGTTATAAACTGTTCAAGCCGCAGTATTTGAATTGAAATTTACAGTAAGTAGAGCAGTTTCTCCATTAAATCAAACTATATTTGTGCCAAAGTTGTGCCACTTTGTCAAACTATACTTTCTTTGATTTGGCCCAGTTTGGTGGGCAACATCCCTTGGGTGATGTCATCATATACAACAAGGAAGAACATTATTACATTTTTTACATTATTAAAGTATGACCAAACTGAAATGGATTTTGAAATATCTTCATTTATTATTATTAATTTGTTTTCATATAAATCATTTTTTGATCATCTTTTGAGTTGAAGTCACCTCTATTGGAAGGAGCTGATCCAGAGTAGATCTCTGCTCCTCTGCCAGTGAGCCCGCCTCCCCCACCCACACGGTAGCCTCTCACTAAGTTTGAGGTAAACAAATCAGCGAAAGCTAACTGTCATTTCAGACCTGAGAATAAATGGCACCAACAATGACAATCTCACATAGAGCTCTATGTCCTCCATCCAGAATCAGACCCTAAATATTTAGTTAACAGAAGTATCTGTTATGTTGGAATAACACCAGGTTTTCAGCTTTTGAGTAGGTCTTGTTTCAAGGTAACTGTAGTTCTGGAACAGTCTTTGGTGGTGTCACCGTCACTCGCAAAAAAACATCTGCGAGTTTTGTAGCGGATTTCAGACTCCATTTCTGTCATTCTCTGTCTTCGGGCCAAATGCAGTCGTCACATATTTACACCAAAAACATTTTTTTTCCAAAGTGACATGAAGCTAACACAAAAAAGCACAGACGTGTATTTACTTTCTATGGACCAAACGCTGGACTCGGAGAGAGGCTGCAGCTGACCATAGACGGCGCTGATTCGCTGGTTCAGTTTCTCCCCGCTGTCAATCAGTGACGCTTTTGACGTCACGGATTGTGCCATGTCACAATTTAAAACAGCTCGTTTCTCCGCCTCTCGAGAATGAAAGAGAAAGATCGCTCTCTAACTAAAGCTTGAGGGAATCAATGAAAAATATTACTCAATGGCATTGGTATGAAAATGAAATAGCAGTGTAATAATGTTTAAACCAGTCAAAAAGCGTAATATGGGTCCTATAAGGTTTACTTTTTCTCTAAACATACACAAAATTGCCAGGCAGTGAGACAGTTAAGACTGGCCGAGCCAATGAGCCATGACCAAGTTAAGAAAAACAGTGCCATAGCCCACTTTACACATGAGTGACCCGTGCACCCCCATCACCCCAGTTCTCTAAAGTGTATATGTGTGTGTGTGTGTGTGTGTGTGTGTGTGTTGGCAAAAGTCCTCACCCTCTCTCCATCTCATTAAGTGTTGTGTCCTTCAGCAGAATCCATTGTTCCTGACCCTTAAACCTGCTACTGGGGGTTCAGACCCGTCGTCACTAATCGGAGATGTTTGGACAGGAATGAACCACGACAGGCTAACGAACTAACGAATGCCATTGTGTGGACTTTAAAGCTGGAGTACCTAACTCTCATAATGATTATTGTTGTAAACCTTTTTGATCAGGCCACAACATGATGCTTTAAACTTAATACTATCTTTTACATATTGAGAGTTGATAGCCACAAATACATGTGAAAAGTAGTGATAGAGCCAAGCTTTTTAAGAGTGCGGAATAAGTCACATGGATTTGATTACATAGTATATCATAGTTTTTGGTTTAAAAGTAAGATATCCAGCTTTAAACACCAGTGTAATGGAAATGTCTATGTTTTCATGCTTCCATAAAACACATCAGTTTATTTACAATTCAAACCGAGAATGGAGTACTAAGTGTACAACAGTCAGGGAATTGAAAATCTGTGGCATTTTTACCGACAAGGCTTTAAATGACCACTTTTTTATAAAATCAAGTTAGAAAATCAGTTGATTGAACCAGCATCCAAACTGGGAGGACAACCCCCATTGGCGGTCATATTACTCTAATGGTTTCCTGCCACTGTCCTCATAAAGGAAACCAATCCATTTCCATTGGCTTTATCTTGTTACTCCTCCAGCTTAAGCTCCCTCAGGTGCTAGTCCCATGAGAGCCGTTGGCACAGTTTAGCCAATCACAGAACTGGTCCTTCTCCCTTAAGTGAAGAAGGTGATTTTTGTAGATCTGCAATAATTCTTTCAGTAAAGATGAGAAAAGAGAAATGTTAAAATGTGTATAATATCTGTCCCTTTTGCACTCGCGACCTGCCTGTGTTGCATGAACTGAAAACACATTCTCAAACTACTGTGTGACATCTTGACCTGTCACTACACGTTAGCTAAAGCATACATGAGGACTACCGTGCCTGTCCCATCTGGAAGCAGTGTTACCATAATAAGTCTTGTAAAAACTTAACAAAAACAGTTTTGAGGTAAGAAATTAAACTCGAAAAGACTTCAAACACTGACATAATAATTATGCTGGTGTCATTAAAGCTGGGGTATCTACCTTTCAAATCATAATAAATGGTGTGTGTGTGTGTGTTTTATTGTTGCATTTTCTGTGTTTGGACCGTTTTATTCTCTGATCTGTGTTGGCAAGTACATGTTTTGTTAAGTTCACAGAGATAACTACTTTTGTGATTTACTGTAGGGCTGTACAAAAATATGTATATATTGTAATGAACAAGATTCCACAATAATCCAGCAAGTACAACACATTAATACATCCCATGAAAGAAGAATCTCACTAGGTCTTTGTTCTCAAAAGTTTGGTTCTATCACTTCTTAGAACATGCATGTATTTTTGGACTCTCATCTTTAGATCAGCTTTTTCTGACACAAAGATGAAAAAGAGATCACTCTCAACTAGGGCTGGGCAATAAATCGAATTTTGACAATTAATCGGCTTTTGAAAAAATTGAATTAATGAAAAATGTGAAAATCGTGAAATCGAATGAGGGATATTGTGAGAGTTCCAGCAGCACATCAATTATACTTGCGATATCAGCACAGTCTGTACAAGACTTTTATAATATGTATTGGAATAAACAAATAGTAAATAGTTTTGAAACTTAAATATTGAACGGGAAGATAAAACATATTTTAAGGGCAAAGTCTGTCTTGAGTGACTTTAATGAAAATCGATTTAAAATCGACATCGTCCAAAGCAGGAAATAAAATCGAGATTTTACTTTTTTGCCATATCGCCCAGCCCTACTTTCAACTAGCTCACAGCCCAAATGGTCAAATAGTGACTTTCTGGACTAATTTCTTTCAAGGATAACTTTCTAATATGATTAAGACAGCGAGTTCTTGTGTCTCTTTCTGCAGAACATATGAAATGCATTATGTGGCCTTGATTGTAATGTATTCTAAGTAGCGGTGTATTTTAAGTCCTCTCTCTTAATCACTCTTAGCTAGTGGTTTCATTGGAGTAGGTAGGTGAAAGTGGGTCACCTCTTTAACCCCTGCAAACCCCCTTACTGTCAATTCTGTTCCAGCTCTCCCTCAAGGCCTGGCCCGTCACCTCCAGCTGCCTGCTATTGTCTGCTGTTCCCAGGGGTGCCCACCCAGGGGACCATCGTCGGTTACAGTGAGCTCTGTCCCACATACAGGGATGGAGCACGTTACTAATCTACTATGCACAAAAAGTCAGGTTTGCAAGCGCTCAGGTAAGATAAGTCCGCATGTCTGAAAGGTGTGGGAAGTCGCATCAGTACCGTTCCTGAAAGAAACAATATTTACCATGAAACTGCTACATTAAGTACTATCCAGTATACCTGTATAACTAGTTAGACAATATAAAGATTTGAATCAACATGCAAATTTATGAGCTCATGATTTGTTGTTGTGAAATTATCTTGCAACATAATATACTGCACTGATGTTCAGGACTTTCCAAAGGCAGGCTGTATGCATCTCAAACATGTGCTTAAATTTACATTTTTGACAGCAGTATTCAATCAATCCTTCCATCTCGAGGTCACTGACATCCAGCCTCAAGATCTTCTCGATCACTCCAAAGGCTAAAGGTTACCAGGGCCACAAAATCTCAACCGGTTTTAATGGGACGTGCAATAACCAAGATCCATAAAGACTGTGAGTGAGAAGGGGAAGGAAAGAGCCATATGCAGTGGCTAAGCCTGGATTGGGTTAGTGTGTAAGCAATGACACACTGACAAACAGGACATCCCAGGTGACCAAGCTGGGAATCAAGTCAGATCTTCTATATACGAACAAAGTATGAACAAAGATAATATGATTTCTATCATGATGAAGACTGAATGCGGTGGTCAGATTGACTTTTACAATCTCCTTCTGTAAAGACAAACAACATGTATTATATATGAAGAAAAAAAGTGATCCCAGCTTGAACTAAACATATCTTTATGCCTATAACCACAATATACTTCCAAAAATGCAACAAACATCAGCAAATATACCCACAAGAAATCGCTGGCTTTCTGACCAAGTTATCAAAAATTAAGTGGAAGAAAAAATGTAATCTAAATCCAGTTAGATTTTCTACCAATTTGTTTTTCAGTTTGCAATATGTTTTCAAGTCCTGGATAGACTCTGGGTAGCAATATCATTAAAAGTTATGCAATGTGATATGAAATAGTTTAGTCTGATGAGACCTTTAAAACTTAACTACCGTGAATTCAAACTAACTTCTCTTGTGTACCTTTGGCTTCCTCGGTTGCGGTCTTTGCTGGCGATGCCCTATTGGGTCCTAGCAGAGGTTTTGACGTCCACAGAGAATCCGGTTTCTGATGCACTTTAGACATGGACAGAAGCCGTTTTCGCAGGCACCCCTCTGGCCTGCTGCTGCCGGTCCCAGGACGAGAGTAGGGGTGCACCTCGTAAGGCTGGAGGCTGTTCCCCATCTTGGTGGTCGGCCGCAAAGAGCATGAGATACTCCGTGCCTTACCGGGGGGACCCTCATAGCATGTCTTATTCAGACAACTGACTGGTGGTCCCGCGGAGAGGCACTGGACGTATGTGATCATCCCCCAGCTAAGACCTCCACCCCCCTCTGAGTCTTCCCCAATGAAGACCCCTCCTTCACAGGCCTTAGGCGGCTTCTTTTAGCTGGAGGTGATGGGCACGCGAGACCTCCCCTACTGACAAGACCGGGCCACAGTCTTTTTGGAGGTTTCTAGAACCCTCAGGGGACCCACTCTCCCCCTTTGCTTCCTCCTGGGTCTCCTCCTACACTTTTTGTGCTCCCCTCTCCTCTCTAGGGAATCTATTGACCCGCATTGATTTGCCGAACAAAGACAAGCTGAGCACAGTGTTAGATTACAAGATTTAACTACATAGAAAATAATATACAAAAACTATTGTCGCTAAAGGCTATTCAAAAGATCAAAAGTGTTAAATCGGCTGAATAAGAAAGGGTTCTTTCAAAAAGCAACTACAAGATTTCCAAAATTTGATTTGTTCAAGTCTCCATCTCAATGAACAAACAAGAAATAACCCAAAATGAGTCCAAAAAAGTAGCGTCTTCCTTCCTTTGCTAGTACGTACTGTAGTCTTAAGTAGCATGGTCGGCACTCCATTTCCACTACAGCGCTGAGGCTCTAATCTGCACAAACCCAGATTATCCAGCCTCCAGCGCCATGCAGTGATTGAAACAAACAGGAGAAACGCAGATGGACGCCAGGTTGGAGATAATTAGCGGCATCACCTCCCAGTGCAATGTGGTCAGGTTCCTAACAGCTCGATGGTAATCCTGAGGACGTGTTGTGAAAAGTGCACAGTATATGAGACCAAAATGTGAGACATCTATTTGAATAAAAGCATGGAATTAGCAGTGATTGGTAAATGTTTTGAAATATGCAAAAAACATTATCTTAGTTTGAGGGGGTGCAAAAATATCTCAACACAAAATTTGTAACAATATAGGACATTCATTCAGCTTGTCATTTGTAATATGTCTTGAATTAAAATATTTTCTTTAAAAATAGAGATTTCACAGAATATAAACTGCAAAATGTATTTATATATCTAGCATGTATCATAACAAGGTGTAGCATACTTACATGTTTTACAATACTTAAACATATTGTAAATTTTGAGATTGTCATAATTTTAAGTATAATTTTTATACGTACAACGACTCCAGAAACTTCCAGCCTCCAGAAGACTATGTACAGTGTATTATGTAAAGTTTAAACCCAAAGCTCTTTCAGACACAACCCATGTCAGACACAAACGACTGCAGCCAACGCCAATAGCCAGAAGCTAAAATAGCCATTACCTCTGCTTGTCATTTTCCCAGCGTGAGCGGTAGCTAAAACACAAGCTGATTACTAAACCAAAAGAACAGAGCACTCGCATAGACCAGCAGTTATACCATGACCCCACTGGGCAGCCAAAAGATTTTAACTGCCCTAAATAGCACGTAACATTCTGTGGTCCTAAATCCATTAATACACAAAATACCCACACATTAGGCCAACACATAAAGGGTTCAAAGCCAATGGAGAACACATGTACAATAACCATAAAACAGCAACAAATAAAGAGGAATTAAACAAATGGAGAGCAGGTAAAACATGTAAACAATTATGTAAAGAACCATTAGGATTGCTGTATCAAAATAATCAAAGTTCAAGGAAGAAAGAAAGGTGAACAAGTAGCCTCTTTTTAGTTTTTTTTATGCATTTAGTGCTTAGTAAGGTGGTCAAAGGTAATCATTCACCTTTGACTAAGACGTAAATAATTGTATCCTGACCTAGCACAAGAATGTATTGCTGCAAAGTTGTGTTGTTTGTTGGCGTGCGAGAGGAAACTTCAGCGGAAGACGGGCCTGGGACAATAGAATCCATGGAGAGTTTTTGAATGCAGTGAGTGGAGCACCTGCAGCTGCAGAGTCTGTCTGGAAAAATCCTCCACAGGGAGTCGCCCATTGTCTTTCAAGACATCGGCTCCGGAAATACCACCAGAGGAATGGTGTCAAAGATGAAAAATGAGCAACAGTAAGAAACGAAAAAGTGAGTTGAAAAGTGAATATGGAAATTGACATAAGCTTTTTTTGTCTGTAAAATGTATCAACTCACTTTTTGGAATAGCTAAAGCTGGGGTAATCAACCTTTAAACGACAAAAATAAATTTAACGCGTTTTTCTCTCTCAAAACTAATTAGTGGCTCTTTCTCACAAGAATACAAAATATTAAACGTTTTCTAATATGTTACTTATAAAGCAACAACACCATTAAAGTGAGTTTTAAAACTGTTTTCTCCATAAATTATATATTTTTTACAGAAATAGTCTTATAAAAAAACAGATAATTCAACCAATTAGATCACAACATGCACTCTTTATCTTAGTCACTATTTGACTATTTGAGCTGAGAGTGATTGATCCTCTCTATCACTTTTCTGTCTGATCAAAAGATGCAACGAAGGAAAAAATATGTGAAAACTAGTGATAGAACCAAACTGTTTCGACAGCGAGGAACTGGTTAGATGGATTGGACTGCATATAATACATTCCTTGTGGTTTGAAAGTCAGCTTTAAGTCTCAAGAGATAGTTGACTACAGGTGTAACATGGCTAATAAAGTGGCTTGTGAGAGTAAAGCATCTGTCAGAGTCGGTGTGAGAAGATCCAAAAGAAGCATTACCCATAAGGCCAGAGGGCAGGTAGTACTCAGCCAGAGGGGCACAGGTCACTGCCCCCTCGCCCCCACAGCACAGGTGCTTTGGACGATAAACAACTGTGTCACTACTTCAGAGGTTAACAAGGAAGTCCTAAGTAGGTAGCTCCATGTTGAGACTGAGAGATTGTATTTGTATTAGGGCTGTAATGAAGACATTTTGTTTAATTGATTAGATCCTGAAAGGTCAGTGAATACAGGACTGTAGAAGTGTTGCTCCTGGAGAAAATCTTCATAGACATGCCTTGTATATCTTTGTTGTTTTTTATCAAAAGGTTTTATTGTCGTAAAACATATTAAACATATTTTCATCATGTTTATGTAAGGTTCATAAAACGATGAATCAATTATAAAAGTAGTTGACAACAATTTCAATAATCGATTAGCTGTGATCAATGGAATAACCCTTTCAGTGTTTTCTCTGAAATCTTTACGTGAAGCAGACAGCAAGCAGAGCCTTGGAAAGCTTTTGAAAGAGAAAATTGACTCCTATAGTCAATGTAAATCTAAAATTAAATAAAAATGTTAGAAAAAACTAGGATAATGTTAGTAGGATGCGAGATCTTTGTATGAAAAGTCTCCAGGATTCATTATACTACTAGGGCGCCTAAAGGGCCATCTTGTTTTTACAGATATTATATTTCACATTTCTTTGTCATGGGTGGTATTCAGATAGTAAGCATAGTCAACTATAGGCTTACAAACAGTTTAGCAAAACCATCCATAGCATGATTCCAAAGACTTTTGATAAACATTCTTCAGGAGAATATTCAATGGCTTTCCCCCTAAGATCATTCCAACACACACCATGCTTGGAATGCATTACAAACACCGAAAAGGTCAGAGAGTTTGAAAACTCTTCAACTGTTCAGAACGCTGCTTATTATTTGAGTCCAATCGAAATGTAACATATAGTGCAATAACTTAATCAGATCACAAGCAAAAGCACGTTACTCCAGATTAGGCACAGCATTGATTGTCCCTAACTGCACTCGCTAAGCCGCCTTGTGGTCATTTCTTGCTTCCTGGCAGGCTTTGCTCGACAAATCAACTGCATCTGTCGGCGTAGTGTAAAGTCCAGAATGACTTCAATATTGTGAGGGACCAAAGCCATCCTGACAGCTGCTGAGGAGAGAGCGCATCCACTCACACAGAAATAAAGGGGTTTGTCAGAGTTTGTGTGGGCATGGATGACTCTAGTTTGGCCACAGCTGCATCTGGGGCGACACCAATGCCAAATGTGTCATGTCTGTGCTATAGCTGGGTGCAGGGGTAAAGAGTGAGAGAATGAAAATGTAGACCGAGAATTTTGGTGGGTCTGATTGCTCAGATTTAGCAGGAATTTGGCTTATAATCTTGAGGTCTTTTGGCACCGATCATATGTTCAATTGTTGTTGCCACTGACTTCAGAAACGGTGCCGCTTTTTTACTTTTAAAATATCAGTTTACTCAAACAGTAAACTCACGGATATTAGTTCTATTAGATCCATCAGTCGAAGCAGAGTTGTGCGTCTTTAAGTTGTAACGCTATTCATGTTAATTGTTGGTTGTTTTGTGTATGTAGAAAAAGGGCAGACAACACGAGATTTTTTTCATCTTTCTGCTCCTTTTCATTTGTGTGACAGGACTACAATTATTTGAAAAGTAATTGTAATCTGTGTGATATTGTCATGTCCACAACTAAAATAAATAAATGTATGTGTGTGTATATGTGCGTGTGTTTCATTGTTCATCTTATTTTATTTGTTCTTAGCATTCATTATAACATTACAGTCACATAAAGACCAGGGAAGACTTAAAAAAAAGTCATCCAAACTTTGAGTCGCCAACATATATAATCCCCATTTACTCCAAAGTGTGACTATTATGTTAGCTACAGCTGTTTTTCTAACGTTCCCATGAGCGCAACAACAGGGATAACTTTTGTGTAGACCGTAGACAGCAGTGGATAAGATTTTCGCAAATACTTGGAGCGACTATTGCATTATCTCATTTATGAAACCACCCAAAAACTATAGATGAAAAAAAAGGCCATTGTAACAAAAAGAGTAAAACAAAAAGCAAATGTCAGATGGCCGCTAATAGATTTGCAATGAATATCACACAATTAGATCTACTTTGAATGTAGCTTTGAACTACTAGGTCAAGTCCCCACATGGCTTCACTCTCCAGGACATCAGCTTGGCCAGTGCTGCTTAGCCATTTAAACTATGGACAATAAACTGTAGCCGTAAAAAAGGGAAGGATTTGTATGTGTCCTGTATGTATACGTGTTTACAGTGCATGTCAAATGGAGCTGATGAACTGTGCAAAACAAATGTTGGACCCTTGTGTCTGACAATTAAGTATAAATCTGTTATCAACTGTATCTGTTTGCTTGACAGCTTTGAGTGCTACAGTATATATGGGAATTTACCAAAAGGAATAGCCAAAATACACTTTTCACCCACGTTGCAAGCCTTTCTGTTTAGTTATTTGGAACTAGCAACTCAACTTTTAGTTTAGGGATGCAACGGTTTCTCAAGATCTGCAGCTCTAGATCATCACCAGACACAAATAGAGGAGTTGATCAAAGCATGAATAGTTGGTTTAGGAAACGCAATAGGAAGGATACCATAGAAGGAGGAAGCCAAACCGTGACATAGATCAGAACACAAATGAAATAACCCGAGCAAACAAACTTACCTTTCAGACAGAACATCTCGAGTCCTTATTCGAACTATGTCCAGTCGAGTCCAGTCACTCCAACCGCACACCTCCTAAATCCTCACACTGCTCAAGACATATCCACTGGCTTGTCCCACTCTGCAACACCCCCATAATTCCTTCATCTCTCACTCCAGCTCTCCCCTCGCACACACGCCCCGAGTGGACACAGGCCAACTCTGCAGGAAGAGCTCTATCCACAGCCCCTCCTCTGCTTCCCCTGCAAGCACGCGGGACATCCCCCAACTCGGCCAGAAGAAAAGTCCTTAACACGATGGATGATCTGTATTGACGAATGATAGCAATTTCCAGAAATGTAGATGTTTTATTATGAGAGCAGTGACACCCGCCTCAGGGGATAGTGAGTGTGGGGTGGATTTTGGGCCGTCAGCAGTTCATAGGGAGGCATGGGGCCCCGGCTTGCGGCTAAACCATTGTCCGCTGATCGAACGTAATCGCTCTAATCCACGCAATTCAACAGGCCTGATGCTAGCCATACCTTCCACTCCAGGGGCATTGGCGAGAGAACCCTATCCCCTGACATCACTGAGACCACAGAAAGAATCACTGTACGAAGACAAACCAGATACAAAAACGCAGCCAGGACACACAGAACATTCATATGAACTTAAACGACGCTCAACCAAATTGTGTCCCGTGGCAAAATGAAATTACCCTAAGATGCAGGACGGCAAAATAAGTGATGTAAGAGAAGTAAATACAAAAGCAGAATCTGGAGAAACATACAAAACTGAATCAAACTGGCGGTGAAAGCGAGAACTGAGAGACGATTCTGTTACATCTCAAAAAGGAAATAAACCCAAAATGCAGAATTGATACAAAGCTATTTAATAAAGAGTAAATACAAAACAAAATCTAGAGTAAAGAAAAATACAAATCATAACCAAAACAGGAGAGAAAGAGAGGTTGAGTTTGCTTACATGTTGTATTTTTTACTCTGGATTTTGTTTTTGTTTTTCTATAATCAAATAACTTATTTTGCAGTCGTGCGTTGGGTTCATTTCAATCTGAAACATGACAAATCAAACTTGAACTTGTCATGAACTTCCCATCAGACTGAATGATTTGAATCTATTGTACATTATTATGAGTAAAAGGCGAAAAGACATGGCTTGCATGATTCACTGGGCCAAGTATCCAAGTGCTCATAGCCTGGGGTTTCCTCCGTAGTGTTGATAAATGCAGCGATACGGCTGGCGCTCTCAGCCTGTCTAGACCTGTCCATATAAAACATCTGCACTGCCGGTTTATCACTATGATGACGCGATCATTCAAAACATGTGTCTTTATCTGTTACAAATGTACGATAACAAACACAGCAGTTGAATGTGTGTTGCCAACGAGTTTAGAACAATATTTGTAAAGGTAACAGGGTGGAGACGAGACACAATTCCCACAAGACCCCATCGAGAAAACAAAATCAATAAAGCGATGCAGTTTAGTTTTCAGTCATTTCCTTATAGATTTTTGCTGTCATAATTTAAAAAAAAAGAGATTCTGATTGAGTTCATTTGCCATTTGCAGTAAAACCACATTGGAATACATGTGCAAAAGTACCCAGTGTGTACTGAGCAAAAGTAAACACATGGACTGAAATCCTTTAAATAATGGTACAACTTGTTTGACAGTTTTATCTTGCAAGATCTTGTGGTTCGAGATCTCGTCGCATCCCTGAAACCCACACATCAAAATGCATCCTTACTCAGCATAGTCACAGCCTATGACACGCCACACTGACCATATGTGAGCCATTATAGGCCGATTAGCCAATCATTTCAGGGGGAGAAGCAGTGAGGGAGGGCGCATGCTGCGGTGGAATAAAATGAGAAAACCACTAAATGCTAGTCTGGAAACGATCTGTAATTAAAAACACGCGCAGTTATCCGGTATACGGCCGACACCTAACACAACTCCACCTTAAGTGCAGCTTCCTTTGTCCCAAACGGATTCAATCATCGCTATGAACCTCATCTGAAGGAGCATTCAAGCCACTGGCTACTGAGGATGAGGAATAAATAAAATGTTGCTATTTATTGACTAGTCTTACTTATGATGTGAATGTGTGGCCAGCGTAGTCAAAGGAATCAAAAGAAGTGTACGATCGAGACACAAAAAACTAAACTCAACTGACTCTTGGCTTTGTGTGATTTCGGAAATATAATAGCAATTTTTTTGTTTAAAATTCTGCTTTAGAGCTGGGGGTATCTATTCTTTAGATCGCTCATAAAGAAACCGTTTTGGTCCAAAACTTGTTTTTACAGGAATGTATTTTTCCCTCTGTCGCATCTTTCAATCAACTTTTACAGGCAGAAGAAAAACTGTTTAAGAAGTATTAAACAGCATATTGTAGTCTGATTTGTTCACATTGTATATTACGCTCTCTGTTGGAACAAACAACACGTACGGTTAAAAGTTAGGTACACCAGCTTTAAGAGGGATAGGATTTCAGTAAACAAGGTTTACTCAGGGGGCTAAATAATTCAAAAGCACTTACCTAAAAGGGTCCACAGCATCAGCACATGCAAAGGAAAGAAAAAGGAAATTAGTTTGGTTTCGTTAACACCATGACATGTAGTTTCTGGATCATTTAATGTGATTAAGAACGTGGGCTGTTGCCTTCTTTCTATGCCGTTGAATCCAAAGCTCTGGGCTGTAGGCCACATCAGATTTCTGCCAGAAGGTTTGCCAGTTTATACGACAAATAATCGACGGATAATCTGGATTTACACATGAAATACATAATGGTGATAGGTATGGGGATGCACTGCTGTGTTTCTATAATAAATATTGACTATAACTAACAACACGGTGTTATGCAAGAGCTTTAATCGGCTCAGATTTTTACTAAGCATCTCTTAAGGCAAATATGTTTTCTAATGCGTTTTAATGACAGAATTGGAGGACATGCCAATTAGGTCAGCATGTTATTAGCCTACATAAAAGTGTCAAGATGCAAACCAAATTCACAAAAATTATAATTCGCTTACATCGTCCCATTTATTTTGCCAACCAGTAAATTCCAATCGGACTAAACGTGTTACATGGAAGACGCCAAACGGCCAAACTCTCGCCATATACAGCAAGATGTAATCGTATAAACCCAGATTTCCTTCTGTGCAACGCAGCCAACACGGGATTCACTCAGATCATAAGGTCAGAGAAAAGATGTTCTTACTATTTTTTGGCGAATGGAGCAGCAGTAGCAGCCCAGAATTAGTAGAACAGGAAATTGTTAGGGATTTTTTGGTACCAAGGGAGTCAAGCACATACACACTGTAGAAAATTATGAAATATGAATTGAGTGATTTTTTTATCTTAATTTGAGTAGATTCTGACTGTCTTAGCCAATTGGACGAAGCCATTTAGTCTCATTTGAAGAACTTTTGTATTTCTTTCTCATTCCATGGGAGACATTTGTTGTGTCTTTTGAAAACATAATTTTGTTTGTCCCATTGCCAAATCTTAGAACATGGTCAAATTAAGATACATTTTGCCAAATATTAGACTTATAATTCATCCCTTTTGGTAGTATAGCAAATGTGTCTAAAAAAAATAAAATAAACATTATTTGAACCTTAGTCCATTCAAATCAATTCAAATCAATTCAATTTCAATCCAATTCATTCTAGTATAGCCCTAAATCACAACTATAGTTATCTTGGAGGACTGATACAAAAACACATAGATCAATTGGTCCATAAGGGGCAGATGACCAACGTCTATAACTGCTGATAAATGTCCATAAATGTTGTTGAACGTCGAGTCTTTGCTTGTATTACGTCAAATTTCAATCCAATTAACCCTATGAATTACTAAGGCATGTTTTTAATCTACATGGCCTTTTCCTGCTATTTTGACTCAGATCTAACTCAATTAAGTGTAACTCAATTAACCCTGAACTTAACCATCCAATCACAGCATCAGTACCACACATCTTCCCGTTTTCTCATTGGTCAAGAAAGCGGGGTAAACGTAAACGTGCCCTGTCACGCTCGCGTCACTGTGGAAACGGGCCAAACAACCAGACAGTAAGGCTGGAAACTGTGTGAAAATTATACGTTTTAGAGCCACGAGTGCTCATTTTAGCTCTATATTTATACACAGGGCTTGGTGAACCACTGGCCCTTGTGTCTCAGCAGCAGATGTTGCATACACAAGGCCTCAAGTGGAAATACTCTTATGGGAGATTTCCTGTGGTACTACTGCAGTTACACTTTTCTTCTTGACCGGCTCATGACATCGCCTTTGGCTCAAAACAACATATACAATTATATAAGAGAGAAAAGACTACACAAAGACACTACTCCTGAGTCAACAATTTGTCTGAGATTTGTCTGGGAGAGCGACAACAACATTTGTCTCTAAAATAGATACAACCCCAAGGGAAGTTTAAGCAAGTTAAAACATAAATAATAAGATAGCAATAAATATGTCTAAGAAAATAATGTCTGGCAGTGCCTTAACTTCTCTTAGACATGCTATTTTTAATTATGTTTGAGCAACGGACTAATGCACAATTTCCTTCAGGATCAATAAAGTATCTACAGTATCTATCAGACTATTTACAATTCATATAGAATGAGACGAAGGGTTTATTTACTGAATGTATGACATGAACGATGATTGAACTAGTCTTATACCCCCAAATAATGGAATTGAATTCATCCAGCCATTATCTCATCACAAAAACCACAACAATCAATGTCTGACAACTACATTAACAACATTGAGAAGAAGCATGTGCAAACTTCCAACTTGCACCTGAGCTATGCAGAGCCTGGAGCGGTATGTGGACGTGGGCTGGTTCACAGATGATCGAGCAGTAGTGAAAGATGAAATGACAACACAGCAAATGTTTTAAGAACCAAATGGGTGGAAAGTCAAAAGGTTAAAAAAAGCCAAACAATACTTTTTTGTTTCGTTTTATATATGAATAGATACATGTCTGTCAGATTGTATACAACCATCGGCAGACTTCTTCCAACAGGATCACACCAATAAATTCATGAGTGGTGCTCTGAAATCTCCCAACTGAGGGAAAAATAGAGGTTACTTATATTATTTGATTTTTCTCAATGAGAGCCCAACCCCTGATTAGAGTCGTCACAAAACTGAATTTCAAACTTTGATAGAGATACTTGAAAGGAGACTTCATACCAATGTTGATATAGAGAATACAAATGTAGTTCTGTTCATGCAGATGTATTTACTATCTGTACTTCCTATATTGGCATCATTAAAAGCCTCCTATGAATAAGTGTTTCAAATTAGATTGGCCTTGCTCACTTAAGAAAGTGCATCTGGTCCGTCCAATGTAACTGATGTGTCCATATAAAATAAATAAATGAAATCAGTTTACATATTAGTTTTAATATAAATGAATATAACATTAGACCTGATAGCATCCCTGATTAGACTTGAAAAATGTTCATCCTTAATGTAAAAAGACTTTTCACAGATCTATCCAGGATTATGGTCTGATAGTGTCACCTGTTTTATTCTATTATTCTGGCACCACTTCCAGTGTCACCCTCACCTATCCTATGTTGTGGTTGGTACACCCAGTTGTCGTCGTCGTCTCTGTTAGCTGTGTGGAGGTGGGAGTGTGACAGCGTGTGGCGGCCGTGCAGCTCGCCCTGACTGTGGAAGATCCTTTTACTCTGGCGGGACAGCGTGGACACATTTAGCCAGCTGAGGGCGCGGGACAGTCCCACAGGCTTGTCCTTACGAAAAGAAGACGACCTCCTATCACCTCTCATCCTGACCAGCATAAGAAACAAGCGCTCGCTCTTCAAAAGTTGAAACTGTAATCTCTGGGGATGCTCAGATGTAGATTGTCGACAAGAGTTGTAATCCAGATTAGAAGAAACTGCACAGAAATCCAAAATGCTTCAATGTCAGGTCCAGACTGGTATTATCCACAGTTTCATGTTTTCATGGAGTTTCCAACGCCATTGCATCTGCGATAGGAGCCGAGAGTAAACATGAATAATCACTTCTTTCTTCTCTCTGTTTGCGCTTAACAAATCTGGGCACTATTCCCAAAACACAAAAAGGCAATTAGGCAATCTGCAAAACCACCGCCCTGCTGTTAACCACGCGCCTCTACTACTACTATATATACACTTTCCTGGCTGTCACACTTCTGGCCAAGGCGTAAGAGGGTGGAGAAAGATAGTTAGAATGACACAAGTTTCTCCTTAATCAAAATCAGTCATCATGTGTTGTTTATGACCAGAGGAGCGTGCTCTTTGGTGTTGTTATCTTCAGTGGTTGGTATGCACAGCTGACATGCACCAACCCAGTTAATCTTCAGTGTGCCCCTTGGTTCTATTCCCAGTCACACATGGGTAACGCTTTCAAAACACTTCCTTCTCCGGAGTCACTGCAAAATCTAACAAGCATCAATTTCCCCCAATTCTTCCTCGAATATCTGTAATGTAGGTCAAGCATCAATCTTATTCCATTGTTGAACGCGAATGCGCAAGGAGAGGCAGTGACTTGGCCCTCCGGTGCAAAAAGTGTTGACAATTGGAGTTCCCATGAGATGATTGGTCAAAAGGAACCAAGGACGCCTTCCACACCTGCCGCCTAAACTTTGTCAAGTCCTTTGCAGATGTGTCCGTTTGGTGAAAAGTCCCACGCTCTTGTTTAAAATCCTCAAAAATGTTGGTGTGCTTCTATCCCAGTTAAGTCTACTGTTGTGAGCGTAAAGGGTTAGGATTACACCCAGCCTTGAGAGCCACGGTGCAGAAATATGAGCTCGTCCCTTCTTCCTTTACTCCCTGCGTTGGCCACTCCCCCTCACCGTTCGAAGGCATGGTAACGCACTCCTCCCTGGAGCTCTGGGCTTGTACCTTTTTTCTCCATACTTGTCTGTTTACTTTTCTAGGTCAGCTGAGGAGTCCCTGAGGGGCATTCTTTTATAATATTGAGACTCAACAATTGGTTAAATGGAACTACATTGTGAACGATTAGAGTGTGTGTCATTATTAAATTATAGGGACGTTTATTAGTTGAATAATTCAGATGCAGTCACCAGAATGAGATGTACTGGATCATATTTTAATTGGCAAGGTGACCACTGTTTCAATTGTTAAGTTGGACTGAGACTTTAAAGCTGGGGTAGCGAACTATGTAATAAAATCCATCCAACTAGTTCCTTGCTCTTGGTTGTATCCCTGCTGCTTTCATATAAACGTTTTTTTTTGGGCCCCTACCACATATTAAGAACAGCTTTTTTTTGACAGAAAAGAGAAAAAGATTAAACCGCTCTCACTCATCTAATCAGCTCTCAGCCCACAGCATCAAATAGTGACTCACAGGGCTCTTTCTGTCTTTAAAATGAGAAAAATTTAACATATTTTCAAATAAGATGAAGACAGAATTTTGTGGCCCAACTAATTCTGTTAGGATATTTCAAAAATCAAGACAATCAGAAGTCAACAAAATGTATTACTTATAAAGCAAAAGGTTAGGTACCCCAGCTTTAACATTGACTTTATTAATCAAGAAGTTTATTTGAGAACATATGCAACACAATTTTACCCAACAAAATAACATGTTTTGAAAAGGGGTCTTGTGGCACTTATACAAACCATTTGACCAAGAGATGATTGAATGTGCGCAATTACAATAACTGAAACATGCATCATGAGCTATATCAATAAATGCAGTCTGGGATCTACCTAAATATCACAGTAACAAGAGAAGTGCCGGTCATAACTTCAAACTGGTGCAAGTCTTTAGAAAACATGTCGAGACTGCTGAGGTTTTTATAGGCCTCTGTTTGCCTCTAGAGGTAGTAGTAACTGGTTATGCAGCAAACTACTAAGGGTATATGCAAAACAAACTTTGTCCATACTTAACAAAACAAGTGAGTCAAAAGAGCGCCGCTGCACCTAAGTGGAAAATGCCTTTAAAGCCTCTGCACTAAAAGAAAAGGGTGTTCATGCATTCTTTTGTCAAATATAATACCCACACATACTTAACTGGTCAACGTGTATTCGGGGAAGGCCAAAATAGCATGCAGAGGCCCGTCAGACGAAAACAGTCTTTATGGAGAGCTGTATGTGTCGGGGAGAGGTGTAGTTTTCCCACCCGGACAAAACCACAAAACAACACGTGACGCCAAGGTGAGACGCAAGTAGTAATCTGTGTCCACAAATAACATGTCCAAAGGGGCATTAGGAGGAACAAGTCAAGTCTGAATGATGTGGCGGCAAGAATTTTTCAACACGATAAGACAAGTATTTGGGATTAGTGTTAAAGGTGATGTCAGGAAGGTAAAATTGTAGCAAAGAATGTGTGTTATGTTGTATACGGTGGTGCAGCGGTTAAAGCTTATGTTTCACTGCAAGAAGGTCCTGGGTTTGATTCCACCTCCAGGCCTTTCTGTGTGGAGTTTACATGTTCTCCCTGTGACTGCGTAGGTTTCCTCCATGTACTCATGTTTCCCCTACCACTAAAAACATGCACAATGAGTATGAATGTAACGAGTGAGTGAATGGATCGCTTCCGTCATCACCGTGTGTGGAGAGAATGGAAAAATATATGAACTCTGAACATTGTAAAGTGTTTTGGGTGACCTTGGTCTGTAAAATGTACTATATAAATAAACATTACTTACTAATAGTATGATGCCATTGTATCGCTATGACATCACGCTCAGAGCCATTGTGTGCCTTTAAAAGCAAAAGTATTACCCATAAACTATTTCTGGTAATTTCTCAAGTGAAATTATGTTCTTTACAATCACATGTCAGTGTATGCAACTGGTAATTTTCAAATGTGGATAAAAAAAAAACATTCCCCTTGATGGAAGCATAGGAAGCTACTGACGGAAAGCCTTTTTTACCCTCAATGTCAAAGCTAAAAGTCTCATTATAATTTTCAACAAACAAAAATAATGGGTTATATTTCTTCTTTAAGTTGCATTGTATTTACGATGGAAGCATTACAAGTCAGCAGAGTCCAGAACGGTTTGAAACTACAGTCTGAGTTTTTAATGCACATTGTACTCCTATGTTTTGTAAACTTGTAGTACGATTAAAGGTTCACTTTGTTATCTCAGTACATTTATCAAGTGAAACTTGTTTTGGTCAAAACATTTTCTGCAGCCGCATTTCTTCTTACAATTTCACAATAAAATAGGTATTCTCTTGCCTGATACCATTCAAACACAGATGTATGTATGTTTAGTTAACGTTGAAAGATAACCTTAAGCCCCCAATGTTATGTCTGGTCCCTGTAGACTTACGTTGCTCTGATTCTTTGAAAATCACATTATCAGCACTTTCTCTGAACCATAGACGACGCGACAAGCCCTCAGAGATATGACACTCAAGTGCAATCCATTTATAACAAAGACCTTTGTTCACAACACACAGACGAACAACGCAACCGTTGTATTTTAGGCCACTCATTAACCACTACTGTCCTTTACGCACTACTACTACTACTACTACTACTACAACTACAACTACAACTACAACTACAACTACTACTACTACAACTACAACTACAACTACTACTACTACTGAGTGGAAAGAATACAAACTGCAAGTAAGAAATGCCAAACAATACTTATATCCACTTTCAGTACACTTCTAAGAGATTGCCACATGTGCAAGCTCTACTCGTTCCCAATCCATTTAAACTATTGATTTCCTCTTTTCAGGAAGAAAGAACATTTTAGAACCAATCCCCCAGAGGCAAGGACACAGGTCATAGGTCACTACTGGAAATCTTAGCCACACATCTAATTTCTATACACATTTCTCCTCATATGACTTTGCTTTTATTTTCAATTTAACTTATGTTGATTCAAAGATGTACACAAAACTGTTTCGATAATAGGAAAAATTACAAAGCTAACCAAAAATGTTGTATTTTTTGTCCTTTTTGAATGTTTGAATATTAAACAAGAAAGCGACTGTGCAACACAGAGGCAGGTTATAATCTTCAATCAGAATCAGAATCAGAATCATTTTTATTGCCACGTAAGTAACAGGAGGTCACAGACTAGGAAATTGCTTTGGCTCAGTGCAACAGTCAAAAAGAGATAATAAAAATAAGAATAAAAAACACTTCTAAAGAATAAATTTAAATTTAAAATAGAGTTACAGTTACTATTTACAATATACAAGTGCACATGGTGCACACAATGTAAGGTGACAGCAGTACAGTGAAGTAAAGTGACGTATGATGGGCAGTAAAGTGACTTTATAAAGGGCGGGGGGACAGGTTAAGAAGTGTTCAAGAGTCCAACAGCAAAGGGGAAGAAACTGTTCTTGTGGCGGGAGGTACTAGTCCTGATGGACCGCAGCCTCCTGCCTGAGGGGAGTGGTTGGAATAGTCCATGTGCAGGGTGAGAGGGGTCGGCTGTGATACGACCAGCCCGGCCTCGAGCTCGGGCGACGTACAGGTCCTGCAGCGATGGAAGGCTGCGGCCGGTCACTTCCTCTGCAGAGCGCACAATGCGCTGTAGTCTCTGTTTGTCCCTGACTGTGGCTCCAGCGAACCACACGGTGACGGAGGAGGTGAGGATGGACTCGATGATGGCCGTGTAGAACTGCACCAACATCTGTGCAGGCAGCTTGGCTTTCCTGAGCTGCCGCAGGAAGTACATCCTCTGCTGGGCCTTCTTGATGAGGGAGCTGATGGTCGGCTCCCACTTGAGGTCCTGGGTGATGGTGGTGCCCAGGAAACGGAAGGACTCCACAGAGGTGATGGGGGAGTCCATCACGGAGGGTGGGGG